AAATTTACGAGAAATTAGGCAGTAATGGGTTACTTCATCTAATATAGGTTTTCAGTAGGTTTCAGACTCTTATTTCGAAAACTAATATTGTCACGAGATTCGGCGTGATCAATAACCTATGTTTCCGAATAAAATGAACTGCATAGTATTGTGCAGGTAAAATAGAGTACATCCCGATATTCCGACGTATACTTCAGAATATCAGGATGTACTATCAGGCTGTAGCCGGGATGGATCTTGATTGGTTATGAATCTTTCAATTTTACTCAAAAATAGGCAAAAATGGGATATTTCACTAACATACGTTTTTACTAGATTTTTGAAACTTTTTGCTGCCACGAAATTCAGCATAGTCGACAACCTATTTTTCATGTATTTCTGGCAGTCTAAACCTAACGACAGAAAAGTCCTAAGGCTTCGATAAAAAGGTTCGCAGCGACCGAATCATGGGTTTTCAAGATGTCGCTTAGATCCACTTTTGTAGACTTCGGATTGTATATGTCCCTAAAAAATCAATAGATTCCTAGTTAAATTTCGGAAAATCCAAGCTGGTTTAACAAGCATTTTGTGGCAAGATAGCCTTATGTCTTGGCTATCGAATGAAAACCGCAAGAGGATTGTTCCAGTAATACATAATAAATATAGCAAACGAATGAACCCGTAAAAACGACCTGGTTTCAGCATTTGAACTATAATAACAACAAAATATAACAATCGCAGTGACCGCGAAACAGGAGACATGAATCTAACTGAGAGTATTAATAAAGTTTAATCTCATCGATATAAATATCATAGTAGCATGAATATCAAAGAATCTTATGTCTGCTGCAAATAAGAACAAAATTATATATATATATTATTACGCAGTTCATCAGTCGAAAACCCGAACAGATAGTTTCGGAGCTTTTACTTTGGTGCTTTCTATGAATGTTCTAGCGTTTCATTAGCACACAGAGATGTTGTTGCTACTACTGCATAATACATAGAATAAAACGTGTTATGATTGATCGTCGCCCATAACAAAAAAGAAGAATAAAAATCATATCAAATTATTATAATATATTTTAGCAGAATTTTTTACGGAATCAGTACTTCTAGGCCAAATACTCGGGTTCATCCAGAAGCAATTTATAAATATATCTTAACCGTTACTGTATGCTTAGTACAATACGCAATGTAGTAAGCGAGATAATGTTTATGATTTCGAATCCATCTTGCTGTAGATAACAGGTTCTGGCAGACCCACTATAAATACTCGCAAAGATAAGAAGTTGCCGAAATACCATTCACACTCTCGACGTAGAAATAAGACTCATAGATGTTCTCGGCTGCTATATTTTATGCACAAAAGCAACTTTGAACACTGCACTAGGAGCGAGAGCTTTATATATTCGAAAAAAGACATAATTTGTGGTATTTTGGCAACGATTATCCATAGAGTTTACGAAATAGTAAGCACAGAGACATACATCAGAATCAGTTTAAATAAAAACCACGAAGGAAGCACTTAACAAGTAGATGTCGGGAACTTCGAAGTACAATTATCTACGGGAAGGGGACGTGATCTATTCTTCATATATTTAATGTATTTTGCTGGAATACCAAAATCGAAACATCTTATTCCCTCATCATCTAAAAGCATGTTCAATTTTCTCATTTTAGTTTCAACTTGTCTGTGCAATCCATTTCATGCTAATTGTTCAAATTCTTCATGTACGTTATTATCATGTTATTCAGGCTTTGCTGATTGTGATGGATTAATGTCGACAGGATGTGAAACGAGTCTTAGCAGTGTCGTCAACTGTGGTTCATGTGGGTCTGTTTGCCACCAGGCGAACACGGTTTTTGCTTGTCCGAATGGATCATGTACGATTACATCTTGTAATAACGGATACGCAGACTGTGATATGTCAGCATCTGATGGTTGCGAGACCGATCTACATACGATCTCAAATTGTGGTGCCTGCGGTGCCACTTGTAACCTACCTGATGCTATTTCAACATGTCCGAACGGAAATTGCACTATCTTGTCGTGTATAAATCCATACACCAATTGCGATGGAATGACAAGCAATGGATGTGAAGCCAATTTACAATCATCAGTGACTAATTGTGGAACGTGTTTTCATATCTGTAGCCTCGGGCACGCAACAGCAGCATGTTCGAATAGTAGCTGTATCATTGTCGCATGCGACAGCGGTTATGCCGATTGTAATTTCTCTGCAGTTGATGGCTGCGAGACAGAATTAATTACGCTCTCTAGCTGTGGATCATGTGGGACTTTGTGTAGTCCCGCTAATTCTATTGCCTCATGTCCAAATGAAATCTGCATGATCTCGTCGTGTAATAGCGGGTATGCAGACTGTGATTTATCAGTAATCGACGGATGTGAAGCGGATCTAACTACAACTTCCCACTGTGGTAATTGTACAAATGTATGTAGTCTCCCGAATGCAGTTCCTCAATGCGTAAGTGGTACTTGTACAATTGCGTCGTGTCTTTCTCTCTTCGCCGATTGTGATGGAATAGTTAGCAATGGATGTGAAGTAAATTTGAAAACTTCGCTGACAAATTGTGGTGCATGTTTTCACCCGTGCCTCCTTGCATACGCATCTTCCGTTTGTAGCAACGGTACTTGTATTCTAACTACTTGTAATAGTGGATATTCCAATTGTAATTCTATAACAAGTGATGGATGTGAAGTAAATCTAAAAACGATTACTAACTGTGGTGGATGTAGTATTGTATGTGCACCGGCTCACGCAGTACCGTCTTGTTCGACAGGATCTTGTGCAGTTTCATCGTGTAACAGTGGATGGGCAGACTGCAATTCGTCTCCAGGTGACGGATGCGAAACAGATTTAACGACTACAATCAACTGTGGTGCCTGTGGCAGTATTTGTAACCTTCCTGATGCCGTTCCCACATGTTTAGCAGGTGCTTGTTATATCTCGTCTTGTATTAATCCTTTCGCCGACTGTGATAGTACAGCCAGTAATGGATGCGAAGTAAACTTGCAAATAGATACGGCACATTGCGGTACATGCTCGACTGTTTGTACACCCATGCACGCTACGCCCTCATGCACAAATTCTTCTTGTACCATTGCCATGTGTAATACTAGTGGATGGACTGACTGCAATTTATCCCCAACTGACGGATGTGAAATCAATGTACATACGATACTTAATTGCGGTAGCTGTGGCACTTTATGCAATCTCGCACACTGTACCGAAAGTTGTGCAACAGGGTCATGTGTGATTGCAACATGTGATATGGGCTATGCTGATTGTAATTTATGGGCTACTGACGGGTGTGAAACAGATATAACAACGGTGATCAACTGTGGTACCTGTGGAACAGTCTGTAACCTCGCTGATGCCGTGCCCATGTGTCTAAGTGGCTCATGTGACATTTTTTCTTGTGTTAACGGGTACGACGATTGTGATTCAAATCCAAGTACCGGGTGTGAAACAAACTTATTGATATCAGCGACTAACTGCGGATCATGTCATAATAATTGTAGTCTCGCTCATTCAACATCGGCCTGTTTGAATGGCAGCTGTGTAATTGCATATTGTGACCTAGGCTACATCAATTGTAACGGGATCACAAGCGACGGGTGCGAAGTAAATATATTAACATCAGCGACCAATTGTGGCCATTGTGGAAATGTTTGCAATCTCACGCATGCCTCTGCTGTTTGTTCGTCGGGAGCCTGTGCAATTTCCTCATGCGATACAGCTTACGGTGACTGTGATGGGTCGGCAGTTACGGGTTGTGAAAAAAGTCTGCGAACACTCACTGACTGCGGTTTATGTGGTACAGCATGTCATTTAACTAATTGCGCGTATACATGTTCAGGAGGTGCATGCGCAATTCTCACGTGTAATGCAGGTTACGCAAACTGCGACGGAGTCACTAGTAATGGTTGTGAAGCTGATCTGACGACGGTCACCACTTGTGGATCGTGCATTACGTGCAATCTTGCATATGCTACTGCCGGATGTTCTAATCAAACATGCGTTATTTCGTCGTGTAACTCTGGTTATTCTAATTGCGATGGAATAGATAGTACAGGATGTGAAGTAAATCTTTATACAACGTCACATTGTGGATCGTGTAATTATGCATGTCCCAGCTATGCGCACTCGAGTCAATCATGTTCAACGGGTGTTTGTGTAATGTCATGTGTTACTGGTTATGCTAATTGTGATGGAAGTATAACTAATGGTTGCGAAGCAGATTTAAGTTCAACTAGTACATGTGGATCATGTAGTACTTCCTGTGCAACTGGTACAAGCTGTAATTGTCTTTTTACTGGCTGTAGCTGCAGTAAGTAATTTATTATTGGTTAGCGAACATAAAACATATGTTTTCATTTTCCTGAAGTAACGATAGCATAAATAATTTGAGGTTCTTAGCTTGATATGCAGCTCAGCGCCGTCAGTCAAGTAAAATAAGACTATCTTCATATAACCTTTTCAGGCGGAGCATGCTTTCATGGTGATGAACTTGTTTCGATGATTAGTGGTGAATATAAAAAAGTGAAAGATTTATTATCGGGCGATCGTGTTTATTCATTAAATGAACAAAACCAAATTATTGAAGATGAAATAATCATGATGGTTCACAAAGAACCGAATACAACAGGTTATGGTGATAAACTAAAAGATACTTATTAGTTAAACTCAATGTAATTCTTTTTTAGTTAATTTTTGTGTAGTTGAGACAGTGTTAAATCATACCGTAACTGTAACATGCGATCATTATTTTCCTACACGCGGATCAGCTGAGCGATTTGTCACCCCAGCTAAATTAACACCAAATAATTTCTTGTACGTGCAAGACACTGGAAACAAAATACAGTTGATATCTGTAAAACGTATACGCCAAGAGGCCAAAATTGGTTTTTATACCCCAGCAACATATCAAGGGATAATATTTGTTAATAATATTGCGGCATCTTGTTATCCAGAAGCCATGCCTACACTCAAACATGAAACGATTCATAACATACTTGCACCGTTTCGATGGTGGTATACAATATTAAAATTATGTGGTGTTCAACAACCATTTCCATACCAATCGACACCCGGTTTTCGATACCCATTTAATCACGTTGTTGATAATGCACATCTCGTCTTTTATCTATTTCAAACATCAGTGATTTACCAAAAAATAATTGGCACTGTTCTTCTCGTCGTCTTTGCAACTCGATTTATCTGGCGTCGACTGCAGAATTACTCAAAGTCTGCCGGTTAAATCAGATCTCAACATTTTTCTGCTTTCGTTTAACTTGAAGCACGGCTTCAAACTACTGGTATGATTGATATGCGCTAACTGCTATTTTCGATTTTAGAATTATATTATCCTGCAATCTACCCTACTTCCGTATCGCATGCCTGACACGTCGTTGTGTGTTTTCCTTGGTCTTCATATCAATCTGTTTTACAGCCTACTTTTGTATATGCAAGCCAGCAGAAAAAGTCGTTCGTCTTAAACACAATATATTCTCTTGACTGAAAAGGATGATCATCCAATAGTACGGGAGACAATTATTGTTTATCTCGAAAAACAATGCACTCTGTGCCATTCCAAAGACAAGATTCGGGGATATCTTACTATAAGAGACGTTCCGTGAGTGCGTCAAAAAAGTACATAATATGGTCGAAATCTATTTTTCAATTTAACTATGTCTCTTCGATTACCGTTCTAAAGTTATTTGAAAATTCAAGTGTTTAGACTTTAAGAGCCATTCTCTGGTAGAGTTAGACCGATGCATCTAGTTGCTGTCACAGATCTAGCTTAAACTTATGTCATACGCGGATCTGTATGTAGCTACTTCTTGATCCGTTTTTCCGAAAACTGCCTTGCTTATGGAAAAATGTTTCCAATCGGATAGTCTTTCGAATGGTAGAAATCATAGCTCTTTTCATATTCGAAACAAATAGTAAACAATCCAGTCTTATTTGCTTTTCAACGGTGGTTACATTATTATACTTTCTCTTCTGTTAAGTTTCAAAATGTCAATTTTAAAAAATCTTAAAATATAATTTTTGGAAAGTTGTCAATAAAGTGACAATCGAACTCGTTCGTTTGGTAGTACAATAACTGAAAATGCCAACAACAAATTTCACTGTCAGTTGTATAAATGATTTGTAGAGTATCGTTAAAGACTCATTAAGAGCCATGCTGGTCTTGATGATATGAATAATGGCTAACTTTTTTATATACATGTGTAAACAGTTGGCACTGTTGATAGTATGTGTCACAGGATAAATTACTGTTCCATTGTTTAATTATCAAATCACTCATCAGCTCTTTAATTAGTGTTTCTGGTCTGTAGTTACGTGCGGTGTTGCTACTAACGAATGACACGTCACTGAATGAGGATGAAGACGAGGTTGCGTATATGGATATACATTCTCTGAAATTCCAAGCGTGAATGTTTTCTTCATATGTGGCAAACGTTACCTTATTGGTAAGACTCACGTTAGAATCATGAGACATCAGCCTCTCGCACCTTTATTTTGATACCACACTTTGAATCATAAGGGACAAAAGCTTCGTCTGAGATAGAAAATTTATATGTGAAAGTTAGATATTTGTCCTCCTTATGTCTAAATCTCCTCCTAATAAAGAACAACAAGAAGCAATGCAAATTCGTTCATTTTCAGCGACAATTCTACAACCGTCTGATCAAAATCATAACTACTACAATTCGCATTTTAGTCTGACAAATGGTCCTACTAACCATCATAAAGAACAACGCTGCGCAACAACGTACACAATGTTAGCACTAAGTGATCCCTTTGAAATTCTTCAAGTTGATTCGTCTGAAACCGATGATGAAATTGTTGAGAGCGATAATTTAGCGACAAAGATAACAAAGAGTGAATATACCGTATTCAATCCACTTTTTCCTAACCACTTGGTTTAGAATCGATTTCGCTTTACATCATAGCCAATGGATGAGACGAGGATGTAGTACGAAGAAAAGAGTGTCCCTTGTCAATTTTGAACTGGCACGAATTACTCTCCATTCTTCACCCGATTGCGAGTAATCGATGTCAGTCGATCCTATGTTGATAGGATGTCCACGACTGTTATAGAAAAAGTGATGTGTCATCACACTGGACAAACTAGCGACCTGAGATAAGGAAGATGAATTAGAAAATCATGAGTTGAAAGCAAAGAGACCGGGCAAATTGAAAGTCTAAACCGCAACCATTCATTTAGTTACAAAGTTGTCTTATTGTTTTCCATCCATTCTCTTTTAATAAAACATCGATCACTAATAGTGGATACTTGGTGTGTTTGATATAATGTTATTCTTAAATATGTTGCTTGTAAATTTGGTTTACTAAAACGATTTGCTTTTTCATGTAATTTATTTCTTTTGTTCGTCATTGAGTCACATATGTGTACTCTCTCTCACACATACATCACATCGTACATATTGTATTCCTCCGCGAAGACAAATTTGTTCAAAACATATTACGCAATTTTACGGATATAGCCTCAATGACTCATCGACTAGTAGGTATATGATGATATAGCTAAGATGACGATACTGTGGGATATATCCGAACATAAGTGCGAGCGGTTTTTACACCATACTTTTTTACAACTCGGATATATCCCACTATATCTTTTCTCCAAAAATGTTTGACTGGGTATTCACCCGTTCATGACTCGAAATGACGTCATCATTAAAAAGTGGAAATTTCACATTACGAAAGGGGAAAAAAGTACGGTATATAAGTGACAGGAATACAAACTCCATTCCTTCCTTTTTCACAATTTCTGTTTTTAGTTTATTATCATTGTGTATTATTCCCAGCAACATCAGGTATGTAAATCACAAAATTGCTTTATTTTCAAAGAATCGTCCGTAATCATCCGTGCTCAATGGAATCAAACTGATCGAGCATGTCAAAAACCTTGAAAATCTACGTTTTCAAAAAGATGACCCTACGTTTTCCGAATTTGGTTTTCGAGTTTTGAAGTTAAATGTTTCAGATTCAGCGCTGAAAACTGAATCTAGAAAAGCAACTTTCAGATTTCTAGGACCGAAAATGGATTTTTCCCGGTGTCTAAAACCGGTACGTGTTGAAAGCGTGCATCAAACTTTGCAGCCCTAATTCAAGCTTTCTCAAAGAAGCTGGTGCCGAAACTTTTACATGGTTGGATCCGCCAGAGACGAGGCTTCAAACTAATGAAGAGCTTTTTTCAACATTCTTTTTCTTCAGTGAGAAAATCGCCTTTTACTAAGATACTAAGATTTCGCGAGTTTTGCTGAGATATAATCCATTTCATCGCTGAGATATCTTCAAAATACTTGGAGCATGTCAAAAACCTTTTGCACTACTTTCGCGAGTTTTGCTTCAAATTCACTTCTGATAACGGAGAGTGGGTTAGAAATGATGGAAAATCTGCTGATGACGGTGTGGAGATCTTCACAGGGTTTCCAGAGGGTGTCTGGTGGAAAAGCTTGAATTAGGGCCGCTACTCAACTTTTGTGCAATGAAAGCATCATATTCGGAGTCAGCGTCGCAAACTGAGTCGAATGATATACGCTTTTGAAATTTTTTGTTGATTTTCATTTTTTGGTGAAAATCTCAGTAATTTTTTCGATGTAAAAATTCGAGAAAAACAAAAGTGAGCGGATAGGATAGAAAGGTACATCATTCGACTTAGTTTGCGACGCTGACTCCGAATACGATGCTTTTATTGCACAAAACTTGAGTTCTGATGAAGGAAATTGAGAATTACAGGCAGAATTTCGATTTTTTCACTTCTGATTTAGAAAAAATGCGTTTCCCAGTAATATAGCAAAATAAAAAAAGAGCGATCCGTACTTTTAAAGCTCGTTTAATGGCATTACAGTGATGTGGAAAAATCGGTTTTATCTCTTATTTGTAAAGACTTTTTGCATTTAACATATATACTTGAGAGTTTTTCGGTGCTGATGGAAAATCGGAATTTTCAAGAAATAAATGTTATTCTGGAAACACGACAACTACGTTTCCAAATACAGATTTTCATGTAGAATACGAATAAAAAGTTTTAAAATTTCCAACAGCTTTGAGCATTAAATTTTCGCTTATTTTCAAAACTAAAGCCGATTTAACTGTTTTTTTCAACTTTTCGCCCTAAAATGTGTTTTAGACAGATTAAAACTTACATATTCTCCCTCAGCGCAACGAGTTCTATCGAACAATGTGTAAATATCTGAAAAATAAATTGCCGTCAACTTTTGAATTGCCGGCATTTTACCTATCTCCGGGTTTTATACTAATTAAAAATATACAAGCTGAACTTTACGTCAAGATACTTTTTAGAAAAGGATGCAGTCTACTTCTTGAGTTATATAACGGTTAGTTTTAACAACTATTGGAACAAAAAACCGAAGTTTTCGATAACAATTGCAAAATCCAATTAAGTTCAAAGTTATTTTTCGACTATCATGACCTTCTCATTTTCTTTATATTCACAGTAGTCAAACACGATGCTAAGTAATCCCTCCCCCATCCCGGATAATTTCAGTTATAAGTCATTAAACAGAATGACGGTGCATACACCGACCAGTAGACAAACTTATGGTAAAATTGCGTAATATTTTTTGAACAAATTTGTCTTCGCGGAGGAATACAATATGTACGATGTGATGTATGTGTGAGAGAGAGTACACATATGTGACTCAATGACGTGATAGTTACGTGAATATTATGACATTACTTATTGCATAATAGTTACGCCACGTCTGCACTATATAAGGTCTCGATTCCGTGGAAGTTAACAACTCATTTTCGAAATAAACTACTACGAAACATACTTGGATTTAGTTATCAATATAAACCGGGCTATCAAGTGGTGCGTTAGCCGGCTTACTGTCAATCCCACATCACAGTAAGTAGAAGGACAATAGTAATGAATCTCAAAGAAGCGTTGAATCCAATATATGAATAGTGATTGTGTGGCCAGCAGAACCAGATTAAAAAACAATCTTCAACCGTCACAATCTAGTAACAGCATCTCTGAAGTGGCAAAGGAATCGCAAGATCCAATAGCAAACAATTCTGCCGTCGCAACCAACAGAACTTCAGTAAGTTTTGTACAAACTTCAATAAAAATGACAGACTTTGTAGAGCAATCGATAATAGCAAAAATAACAAAGGAACTCCCAACCTTTTCCGATGCAGTTGGTGAAGATTCACACAAGTGGATGGAAAACAATAAGACAACTTTGTAACTAAATGAATGGTTGCGGTTTAGACTTTCAATTTGCCCGGTCTCTTTGCTTTCAACTCATGATTTTCTAATTCATCTTCCTTATCTCAGGTCGCT